ACAGACCACTGGTGACTATTTTCAGCTCAGATACCATGGTGATGGGTGCAGTATAAGAACCTTTGACAGGAGTCAGTCGGATAATGAGATGTTAAAGGTCTTCTTGACTTGTTTTAATGTATGGACCGACAGTTTAGCAGTCTTCACACTCCCATAACTCGCATTACTGTATGAACCCGAAGAGGAATACAGCTAACTACACAGCAGTCTTTGCAGCTGGTTATCTTTACAGCCAAAACTTTAAGGCCAGGATTCTCTGTTTTGCCAGTTATGGCTTGCTGAATCTCAAGGGTGCAATCCTGAGCCCTGGCATAGGTTAGAGTAGCCTGTGGACTTCTCTAGATCTTATTGCCCATGGTCCCTAAGGGATTATAAATCAGATGAACACAGCTGGAGCACTGCATAAAAAATAATAATAAGCTGGCAGAAGAGCCAGATACACTGGCACTGCACCAGCTAACAGTTCTCCCACACCGAAGGAATTCTCAGCTGGCCAGATCCAGCTTGTTTCTAGCCTCTTTTTGCTGACAGCACAAGAGAGAATATAGCCTTAAAGTTCTTGCCCAATAGAATTTACTACATCATCTTTAATTAACTTATCTTATTTTTAAGCCATTCTGGAGTTAGGGCAGTAGTAATTAATTTATTTTTTTCATTAAATAAGAGAGATTTTAGTATTGTTTCAGACAATTGGCAAATATTTTATTAGACAAAAGAGAAGTATTCAGGGGCCATCTGGTGGCTGTTTGATGTATCACTGCTACGTATAATCCCAGCATAACCAGGGCAAAGAAATCTGATGGGAATCTGAAGAGTATGCACAGGCCAAGTTCAGCACAGGAAGCAGCTTGGACCATTTTTACATAGATGTGTTTCTGAACATAATCACACTTTAAATTAAAAAACTATGTTAAAATAACATTAAGGGCTAAATTCTGCATCCAGTTACTCCAAAATCACATTGGTGTGAGTTATACATCAACGGTGTAAATGAAAACAGAATTGGGCCACGAGGATCTAATTTAAACCTACAAAGTCTGATTTAGAGACACAGGAACTCAAAAATCGCACTTCAGTAGGAAAATGTTTCAGCTACTATTCCTACAAGCAGTCACATCAGATACAATACAAAAGAATTATTTTGTTCTATTTTTGTTTGTTTACTTTGTGCATTTGACAGTTTTGCATACAGTCAGTTTCACCTAGGTGAAAGGCCCTATGCACCAGTTAAGAGGGGGTGAATTTTATCTTCTTGCCCTGTTTAGTCAGGTAGGGCCTGATCTGGAAAAAAGACTGTACCCAGATGAGTAGCTTACTCACATGAGTAAAGTTACTCATCTGTGAAAATCTTTGAGGGATCAGGCTCTTAGTTCATTTGTCTTTTTTTTTTTTTTTTTTTTAAAGGAAAATATCATTCAAGAGCACTGAAGTTGCCAGGCTTCTCAAGGGTAGCTGGTATAGAAAGGGAGGATGGTCCAGAGGTTAGGTTACTAGTTTGGGACTCCGGACACCCAGGTTCAATGACCTGCAGTGTGACCTTGAGCAAACCACTTCATCTCTGTGTCCCAGTCCCCCATCCCAGAGGTGTTGCAAGGACAACCGCATTAAAGAGCATGATGCAGTCAGATACTATGGCAATGGGACCATATAAGTACCTTAGCTAGATTGGTGAAAGATCAGAAACTTCATTTTTGAAAAATTGTCTGATTTCAGGCTGTCTTTCACTCTGTCTTTAACTCAAGTAGTTCAGTAGTTCAAGGCTTTTTGCTTATATTTCGGGCCAAACTCTACTTTTAGTCACACTGTGTAAAGCAAGAGTTACTTTCACTGAATTTGGGCCGTTATAGGTAATGCAATATGTTTAGTCACAAGGGCTACATTCAGCTATGACATTATTGGCAGGTAAGTTCCATGTCAGGTGTCTGATCATGCTCTCACTGACATCCATGACAGCTTTGCCACAGAATCCAATGGAAGCAGGAGTGCAAGTCAGTCAGAAAGAGGTGTGATAGCACGAATGGTACTGATTTGACACTGGGGGTATGTCTACCCTGCATCTGGGAGCAAGCCTCCCAGTCCGGGTCCACATACTTGTGCTAGTGGGACTTTCACTAGCGTGCTAAAAATAGTTGTGTTGCAACGTCTGGCGCAAGCCCCACTAACACAAGTCTGTGGGCTGGGAGATTGGCTCCCAGATGCAGGGTTGACATACCCTAGGAGAGTATGCAAGATAAGTAACCTTAAAAGGCAGGTGCCGCTACTTTATCTTACATGTTCTTTTTAATTGGTTTACCTGCAACCAACATCCCTTCTCCACCACTGCACATAAGTTACACTTGTTTTTGTCCATCTACTGAAACCAAATCTGTGCACTTTATACTATGTTATTGCTTAAACCCCACATGTACCTTACAGAACTGTTTATGTCCCCACTTAGTTGGATGAAATGTTCATGAAAGTCTACTTATGCCTGGCCCAATGGAACAAGGGTAAAATTTTCAAACATGCCTACGTCCTTATGACTTAGGAGCCTAAGTCCCATTTTAAAAGGTGATCTAGGTATTTTGCAGTCTACGTCTCAGTGAAAGTCAATAGGACTCAAACTCCTAACTGTCAAAGTCATTTTTGAAAATTGGACTTAGAGGCAGATTTTTAAAGGTGTTTAGGCACCTAACGATGCAGATAGGTGCCTAGTGAGATTTTCAAAACACCCATTGAAATCAATGAGAATTTGGCACCTAAATGTTTTGAAAATCTCACTAAGCACCTATCTGCATCTTTAGGCGCCTAATTACCTTTGAAAGTCTGGTCCTTACTCTCATAAGTCACTTACGCATTTTTGAAAATGTTATCCCAGATCTAATGATTCTCATTTATGCTATTGCCACCCCGCTGAAAGCAGAAACTGTGAACAGAGTTTGACTGAATTAGGTTAAGCTAAGGTGACAGTGATGAAATTAAGTCTGAATTTCGTCGCTTTCAAGAGTTGAAAAAAGACCTTTTATGTAATTGTCACAGAGTTTATAAAAACTGTGTATTACTCTCTAATAACCTCTGTGAAGGGATTCTGAGCTTCTGTAATTATTATTCAATTCAATTACTGATGTACATTAGGATGGTCAGGAGTCCCATGTTCCAAATCTGAATGTCTATCGCTGCCAAAAAAAGTATGTAGAAAACAAATTTGATAGTGTGCTACCCTGTCAGAGACTCCAGTTTGTTCTTTGAATATATATATATAAATAAAATTGGTCTTAGATATTTTCATTTCCAAATCGCTGAGCAACACAGCTGCCAAATTATAGCTTCTTCAGTTTCAGATGTCAAAACATTCTCAGTTTTTCTGCTTCTGTCTGTGCAAATAAAAAAAGAAAGAAGATAGAAAAAACTGTTCTAATTTGAAGCCCAGAAATACTGCTAACTGTCAAAGTGAATTTCAAATAACCCTAAAAAGGACGGTTATATCTGATGGATTATATTGACATATTTTTTGTTTCTCTTTTTAATTTTAATAATGGATTTTCACGAACAAGAATTGGATAGAAGCTGCCCACAGAGTGCGTTCAGTGTGGGCTGTTGTCTTGTTGGCTCCACCACAGTGCATCGTGAATTTAGTTATAGTTGGGAGACTGGGTAGTTTATGAAATTAGCATTGGATTAGGGAGTCTTTTACCTTTATTACATGGGTTCAAATCTAACAAAGGTTGGTAGTGATCAAAATATATCGCATCCTGACAATTGTTTGGTGCAATATAAGAAATTAGCTGGTGGGACTCAATCTATGTCCAAATGAACAAGTACCCACATCTTAACCAGCACCAACAGGAGCTCCTTAACAGTTTCTGACATGCCACAAACTCAACACATTTGCAGACTTTACTAGACTACAGATGAGAAACCCTTATAGAAGGTCCCTCTAGAACAAGAATTAAGTCTCTTAGCAGAATGCTATGCGAGAACTCTGCACTGCATTGCTCTTGCTGATTCTCCTCTATAAACACAGAGGACTTCAGCTGGCAGGATTGTCAATCCAACATCTTTCATCAGTGGTAAATCCAATGTTTTAAAAGTGAATATTTAAGATGCAGAAATCCAATAAAGTCACATTTGTTTACAAATTAGCAAACTTGAATGGACCTTCCCCTGTCAAGTGCATTTAGACCACAAGACTTTAGCACTAAGTGAAATGTTTTCTACTGTTGCTAAGCCAAAGTGATTGCTACCCTCGGACCTGGAGCAAATGTAGGGGGAAATCCTACTCCCTACCACCCTCTGTGGGGATGGAGGGCACTGCTAGGAGCAAAATCAGTGCAGTGAGAAATCAGGACTAAATATGTAGATCTTGTGGAAATGAGACATGATCCCCTTCTCTAAGCCTTGTTTTAGGCTTCAGAGAGTTCAAATGGCTTTGTGATCCCTTAAGAACACTGTTGGCAAGATCAAACACTGCAAGGAAAGAAACTAACTAAAATCACAATCCTCCTTTCACACCTGCTGCCTATCCAGATGTGGGTGCAGTACTGAGAGCCAAGACGCTGGGGACAGGAGGCCAAATCGAAGCTAAGAACTTATTTAAAACCATAAAAATAAACTTTTTGTTTTTTAAAAAAGCTACGAGAACTCTGGGTGAAATCCCGGCCCTACTAAAGTTAGTGGCAAAACTCTCATTGACTTCAACGTAGCCAGGATTTCACCCCACATCCCCAGCAGTGGGAGCTCCTTTGGGAAATGCAGAAGGTGTTCTCCACAGGCACGGGTCCGGCGGTGGAAGCAGGTGCGTAAGTAAGAGAGAATAACTCTCAAGATTGCTCTTATGACCAGGCATGGCAGAACCATGAAGCTAGCCCATGAAAACAGAGATGTAACACAACCTTAAAGTATTAGAATGAAAAGGTTTTTTGGACTTTGAGGTCATGGCTAGATTCTCCCAGAATTTTCAAAACGGGGTCAGCAGGAAGCAAAACACTCTAAAAGGAGCATTCCTATGCTGAGCTACTAACCGGGTGAAACAAAACAGGAGTTTTCTCTGCCATGGGCTGCTTTCCAGTGACCGAGTGTTGAGGCTGCAATTGCTCCAGCTGCTCCTGGAGTCTCTGTCTCCTGTGCTTCTCTTTCATCTGCTTTTCCTTTAGGGACAGCTCTCTCGGGCTTTCTTCTGCCCTGCAAAATATAATATAACATACAGATCCTCCTACATTTTATTCTAACTCTGGGGTCTCAGCCCCCTGTTTATACTCACCATACTTAGATATGCACCCAAATCCTTCAGATGATTCCTTGTGGCTCATCAAACATGACACTGTATACTGGAGGCAAGATGTGAACTGGTGCAATGGTTTTAGGGGGCCCTTCTGATACCTGAGGAGGACCCATGTGAAATGATTGGGCAAAACTGTGTAAAAACAACACTAGAAACAGGGAATGGGAACAGGCTCAGACCCAGGTTAAGTGCTGGCAAACTGCTTGGAGGCTGGAATATGCTGGTAAGATGGAAGCAGTCTGCCTAAGCTTGTTCCTGATTTTCCCCCTTTTTCTCTCACCAAAATTCCCTGATGGATCCCTAAAGCCTCTTCTTCCTCTCTTCTCCCACATTTTACAACAGACTTTCCACTGTGCCACATCCTGCTGTGTTCAGGGGGCTGCGGATGTTAACTGCTGTTTCCAAACTTAATATCATGCCTGATCATTTTACAGCACCTCTCCCAAGCTCTAGGTGCTCTCACATCACAATGTCCAACGCAAAAACTGACGATCCCTGTGATCTGTCCCTACCAGCCACTCTAATAATTACCAAATAACCCAGCCTCTAGCCGCCCTCATATCCTCCAGCTTAACACCTCCACAGATGCCTGATATCTTTGTGAAAGACAAGATGGGTGAGGTTATATCTTTTATTGGACCCACTTCTGTTGGTGAGAGGGACAAGCTTTGGAGCTCTTCTTCAGGTTCCTTGTGGCATGCTCAAAAGAAAACAAATCTGGGTTCTGCCAGACCAAACAAAGGCACATGCTCCATTGCTAAGGATCTCTCAGAAAAAACACCCTGCAACCAGCCTCCTGTTAGCTCAAGAGCTTTGGTCATTGGCAATGGTGGCAATTTAATGCTGGGAGAGAGGCAGTCTCTGGGACAGGCAGGTATGAGACATTTAGAGGTTCATAGGTCAAAATCAACACCGAGAACTTCACCATGACAATATCATGCAGCCTGGGCAGGCTATGGAACATCAATGTAATGGGCTCCCTGTGTGAATCACAGCCACATAAGAAGACAGATGCATACAGCCATTATCACCAGTTTCATCTCAAGACATAACCTTACACAGAATGTGCTACACATGTCTAGTCTTGAGGTGGCAGAGGCCTGGATAACTGAAGCAAAGTCGCTGTGATTTCTTTTATGAATACCATTTTTAATTCTCTTTCCCTAGCCTCCCAAGGCATTTCATAGCTCTCTCAGTTCCTCCTGGGCATGCTTTGTAAAAGATAAAGACATCATCATATCTGGCTCTTATACAGGTTTTCATCAGTAGTACTCAAAGTGCTGTATAAAGGAGGTCAATGTCATTATCCTCATTTTACAGATTGCAGAAATGGAGGGGAAGTGACTTGCTCAAGGTTATCCAGCAAGCTGATGGCAGAGCTGGAAATAGAACACAAGTCTCCCTAATCTAAGGCCAGAGCCCTATCCACTGGGTCCAACTGCCTCTCTAAGCAATTAAGCAAGAGCCACTGGCCTTGACTGCCTCTCTAGCTAACTGAGACAGTCAACTTTGCACCCCTAGTTTGCAGCCAGTAATATGCTCTCTAGGTCAGTGGTTTTCAACCTGTTTTCATTTGCAGACCCCTAAAAAATTTTGAATGGAGGTGCTGACCCCTTTGGAAATCTCAGACACAATCTGTGGCCCCTCAGGGGTCCACAGACCACAGGTTGAAAACCTCTGCTCTAGATGGATGCTTAGTGGAATGGCATTCAGAATCACCACTGATGGCTTTACTCCAAACTCTCTTGTACCTTGGGGATTCTGCTGCTTTATTTAGAGGGGGCTCTGAAGCACTTCCTGAATGTAGTGTGTCTTCAGTCTCTTTCTGGTTTTCCCTTGAAGAATCAGCTTCATGTTTCACATGGTTTGGCAAGGGGGGACTTCCCCTCTGAGAGTCTGAGCGCACCAGCCACCTGGAAGTCACCTTGTTTGCCTCCCCTCTCACTCTTAGATAGCGTTTTCTCCTGATTTTCAGGGTGCCCATCTCTTCTGGGCTCTCAAGATCCTGGCTCACTCCTTCATCTCTTAGCACCTGCTTAGAGGCCTCGTTAGCAAGAGGCTGAGATGCTTCTTTACGGAAGTTACGGAGTTGCTGCAACAGCAGGCTTTTCCCAGTGCAATCCCTGAAAATTAAAAATCAAATGGATTAAACCAAGGTAAAGCATTATAATTAGCAGCTCCTTACTGAGGAACCTAATTTGATTGGCAGCGCAAAGCAGGGCACAGAAGACCACCTGGATAATGGTTATTGATGTCCTAACATTAGCTCAAAAATTATAGAATATGCTACCATGAGCCCACCTGGAATTCTTTGGGCTTCCAGGTGGTTCAGTTAAGACATTGCTGGATCGATCTAGGATGGTAACGCTGTGAACCTCGACAGCACTCATGAGGCTCTGGTGACATTGTCCTTTGTGATGGGACTAGTTATTTGTCTCTGCAGAAGAAGCAATAAAGGGGATGGCCCGTTTGACTCTTTACTGCAGTGGGCTGTGATCTAGAACGGTTTATGTTATGGACAGCTCCTGGCTCTAGAGATGGAGGGACAACATTTTCAAAGGCCCTTACATGACTCAGGAGCCTATGTCCCACTTCCAAAAGTGCCATATGCACTTGGAGCCCAAGTCTCATTGAAAGACAATGGGATTTAGGAGCCAAGTCACTTTAGAAAATGGGACATAGGGCCCTTTGAAAAGGTTACCCTAACCCTCCGTGCAGCTGTCCTGGGATAGGTATTTGACCAGCATTGCACTCACTCTTCCTGGTTGTCAGGCAGAGGACCACAATGCCTGTCTCAGGAGCACTCAGGAAATGGAATGCTGGCATGGAAGTCATAGAGTCCACAGCTCCCCTCATGGAGCCCTTTTCCCATCCAGCAGCCAGTCAGGTAGGTATAAAGAGAGAGGATAAGATTCCCCCCAGTAATTCCTACAGGAGATAGGAGGGAGGTGAGGGAGGCCTTCTCCCTCCCAACACTTGAGGAAATGAGATTGTTGAATTATCAACATCACAATTCTGTGATTTCCCTAGGTCATGATGATGGAAAGTTATGGCATCATATTGCAACACAACATCAGGACACAATTGTTTTGTGGCTGCATGTCATTTTGATATTGAAGGGACTCCCAAGCTGTTTGGTAAAGGGTGAGGGCCACCAGTTTTTGGGCTGATTTCAATGTCAGGAAGGGAGCATCACAAATGTCACTGCTCGGTTCTGAAAGAGGCAGCTGAGAATTATCTGGACCTGGAGAATTGGCTTTGTGCTGTCTGAGTTTGATATTACAGTGTTCTGGCTCTGAAGAGTATACACCTGCATGCTGTTATGGTGCTGTGCTAACTGACCTTGTACTTTTCAGAACACAGAGTATTCTACAGCTAGGCTTCCCACTTCTATTTTCTTAAGTGTCTCCTCTTTTCTGTCTCTTATTATTATTACTTTATCCTGTGACCTCTTCTAGAGATGACAAGACTCTCCTGGACACATGAAACCCCTGGCTACTGTAAGTATTGGACCATTAAGGGGAATGACTAAGCAGTGTGGGTTTGCTAACACCTCCCCTGCCAGATACCAAAAATAATGAATGTGAACTGGATGACATTCTCAGCATCCATAAGGCCAGGGCCTCAGATTCTAAATCTGTTGCCAGGTAAGCTGCTAATGTAAGTGCAGAGTGACGATTGTTCATTCCTGGCTTTGCCTCGACTGTGCATTGATAGCAGTGGCGCCAGCAGAATGCCTTGGTATAACAGACCTTGGACAATCATGAGTAATTTGCAAGAGCAAAGAGAGTAAGTTAGCAGTAAGGATTCTACTGACACATCCCCATGTCTCTGCAGTGATTCTGATTGGATACTTGTCTATCTCCAGTAGGAATAGATGTGATAATTAAACTCCTTCTGTGATTGCTTCTCCTCCTGGGAGGCAACTAGTGGGGTAGGGTGAAGACATTGGTTACCTAATCTGACCCTACTCCATACGGAAATTTAGTGAATGAACCAAGTGGAGTTTGCTGGCCCTGCTAGGGAGGTGAGGTGGGAAATGTCAGGGGCCAGAGGTGGTGCATGAGTACAGAGATTTCTTACACCTGACCCCGGGGATCTGCCAGATTTGAGGGCACTTCTGTGTCTCCCTGAGGAGATCTTCAGAGATTTCTCCCTCCTGCAGGCTTTACCCTGGGAGGGGACTATCTAGATTCTAGCTCAGTGTAACTCCAAACAGATCAGTAGAGTGACAACAGCACAAGGCCCAAAAAAATGAGATCAGAATTCAGCCCAAAGATTTTCTGCCTGCTCAGATGACCAGATTTCCTAACGTGGGAACAGGGAAATAGTAATATTTGTCAGGCATTTTATTTATTTATTTGGTTTTAAAATTGCTAAAAAAAACCCAAAATTCAATTGGCCAGGTCTTCTTTATATGAGTCCAGATTTACACTGGTGTACCGCCCAGTGATTTCAGTGGAGTTTCTCTGGATTAATACCAGCACAAATGAGAGCACCTAGTGCGCCGGATCGCTCCTGCTTGGTTCTGGTATCTGACTATTTCAGCTGCTAAATCATTCTGAGTGGTTGGGCTCTGTTCCTTGGCGAATCATTTATTCTTTCAAAACTATTTTTAAAAATAAGAGTAATTGGCTCTACCAAAAACAGAACAAAACAGCACATTCTGCTTGTTCCTTCTACTGCTCTAATTCAGGTATAAGTGCGTCATTAAGATCCAGGGAACGGCTTCTAAAGATAACACCGAGCATACATGGGTGAAGCGTGTAGGCCCTGACTCAGCAAGATACTTAATCATATACATAACTTTAAGAATGTGAGCAGTAACTAGTCACATGCTTAAAGTTACGCACATTCTTAACTACCTCGCTGAATCAGGTCCTGAGTTTGGCTATAGGGAGGTGTTGGCATCCCTGCATACAGAAGCATTTACAGTTCAGGAGTTCCTTGACTGTTCACATTACCCCAGACAAATAAGGAGATCTGAATTTCTCTTCCCACACACTTCAATAAAAAAGCATTCTAGATCAATTTCTAGCTTCTGTTTGATCATTTTCCTAAAGAGGCTGGATATTAGTATATACCCATAGTCTTTTAAAATGTTTGATTTGGACTTATTTAAAAACAAAGTGGCTCAGAAAATTTTTTTCCCTACTGTCTGTGTCTACTCTGCACGTGTCTTTTGATCCATGTCTGTTTCATTTACTGACAAAAAAAATTTTTTTTACTCCTGATATCCCTGTAGATTCCATATACTGCAAAAGAGCAAGGTGAATTCTATTTTGCCTCAAGCATTAACAATTATGTTCTAACTCCAGCATCTTGATTGTGGCTGCAGCAAAAAGAACACAAGACTGATCTGGTAGATCCAGATTGAAACTTTTTGTTTCAACGATTGAACTGAGCAGATTTGCTATGAGAGTCGCTGCTGGATAATATTTTAATAGGTGAGATCTCACTCTCAGTCTTTTTTGGGATCATTTCAATTTCATGAAAAGGTGAAGATTCAAGTAGTTTGTACCGTGGTCCTTGGGAAGAATCTTGCACTCTCTCCTTTGTTTTCTGTTGGTCCTTAACTGTTGTATCCTCCTCGTCTTCAGTGGAGCTGTCACTCAAGCTATGTAGCAAAGAGATCTGATTACTGGACACCTCTGTTCATGGTCACAATATCAACAACCAGCCTGGGATATTTATTCATAATGTGCTGTCTTAGTCACGCCTGAGATGGACGTTTAAAACAATGGGATGTTAAAGAAAATATATGGAGTCAGATCTGCAGCTGATATCAACTGGCACAGCTCCACTGACTTCACAAGAGCTAGATTAATTTATACAAGCTGAGGATTTGGCCCATAATCCAATAATAATAAAAAAATTAATTAAATAATAATAAATCTTTTCTTTCTTTAAAACTACATGGAGACAGCTCCTCAGGGGCATCTTCCCAACAGCAAATACCCAATAACTGATACACACAGTTTGATGCCCTAACAACATGATCCACTTCGACAACATAACTCATCCTGGGGTCATGAAGGATAATCTTATGCTTGTTTTTACTGGAACAACTTGCTTTTAGCTAAATTTAAGCCTGTAGTAAAATTTAACCTCCCTGTGGGTTAAATTAGAACTCATTAATGAAATACATTTAGACCCAGGGGTGTTAGGTGAGTGCATCTAAAACATCTACTTGGTCTTCATTATCTACAAGGTTTGTTCAGACTGCTGTTTTCTTTCAAGCCATTTTCTAGCCAGCACCATCGCTAAGGATCTCTGGGAAAAGAGTACAGAAGTCTCTGCTTAGTTGTTGATAAATATTGTCCACTCACCCTGTGGACATGCTATGTGTCCATGCATCTTGGGGAGGAAGCAAATAGCTCTCTCAGACTTATTAGCTTTAGCATTCTGCCAGAGCTTTTTGAGTCTTTGGAAAGAGGCCAATCTCCCAGAACTCACCATCTAGGCACCTCATAGTCTCACAGGAGACTGAAAAAGCAGAGCCAGCAATCCCTTGGTTGCCCATTTATCCTGGATTTCAGATTGCATAGTTTCCCTTCCAAATGCTCACTCACTCCACCAGAGGGCTACCCTTTCCAGACCAAGGGCAAGAAGAAGTGATACAGCAAAGAAAGCCTTTCATAGTATGGCTCACCATGGGTATGGTGTTCGCAACAACCTTAAGTTCGTGCCCTTGGTCCCTCGTTTCTCACTAACATCAGACCCCAGAAGTTACCTTTGATTTTCAACGGACGGTAACGCTGATTTGTGTGATTTAGCATCCCGTAAATCAATGTACACTGTTGGGAGCTCTGCTGTATATTGCAGTTTTGGCATATCCATACTTCGACAGCTCTGGGAAGGTGACGGGAAGATGACTTCTCTGAGAATATAAACCATTATTTCAATGTATTATTCATCTTCCCAGGAGAAGAGTTCCAACAGGACATACATTTGGAATGAAAATAGCTCAAGAAAGGGACTGCACTCCTGGCTATTACACAGGTTCCAACTCACGGTCTCTGCATGTGGCAGAAGGAAACGCTAAAGATTTACAGTCTGTCTGTTTCCAAATAGTCAACTGTACTGGATATCTTTGAGGAATCTCCAATTTTCAACTTGAACAATGATCTTGCTCAGTTAGAGGCACAGACAGCCATATAAATCAACATGACCAGACTGGGCAGAAAATAGTATTTTCTGATCCCCTCAGAGGAAATGCCTACACTTGTCTGCTAAGAGACCTGATGGTGATGCTCTGATTTTTATCCCCAGCTGGAGGGGAGAATCTTCTGACCTCTCAGGACTCCTGGTCCCAATAACCATTATTTATTTCTCAAGCATTGATGGTGAGGTTGGCACTGTAGAACATAGAAAAAGACAGTCCCTGCCCCAAAGAGCTTATAATCTCAAGACAGGCACAGGTTTGATTACAGTAACCTCCTCCTTGGGCTTCTTGGACAGTCCTCTCTCTCACTCCCATGTGCACAAATTGCTGTCACTAAGATCACATTACATTACTCCCCTCTTTGAAAGCCTCCACTAGTTCCCCCATCTTCACAGCATCATGTTCACATTTCTGGTCCTGCCCTTCAATATCCCCATAACTCTGCCCTTCCCTAATAATCTGCCTTTGTCTGTTATTGATTTGCTCCTGTCCTCCCTGCTCTGCCAACGATGCCATCCTTGATACCCAGTTTGTCTGCTTGTTTCACTACCATTTCTTCTGCACCACCCTCTATGCATAGAATGTCCTCCCTGAGCGGGTCTGGAAGGCCACTGCTTCTGTGCATTCAGATTCCTCCTCAAGATCCAGTTCTACAGTGATGCCTGAAAAAAATTACACCCAGCTAATAATGGCAAGGTCAGAGGCCATTGAGAGAAAATACAAACCCCAAGCCCCGCATGGAACGATCAAAACATGGCCACTCATCACCCTGATCACTTGGCTTGTCTGCTCAACCCCATTCTCCCACACTTCATCCATTTCTCTTTTTAGATTGCAAGCTCTTCTGTACTCTACTGGAAGACATAAGCAAAGACAAATACTCTGGCAGAGCCAGAGAAAGGATGTTGTATTTGTGCCCTTCCCCTCTCCTAGAATGCTGCATAGAAAGGCACCTTACGGATGACAGTCAAACACTATGACATGGAGCATTGACCCTTAGTTTGCTCCCTTATCTTGGCAAGCCCTGCACTGTCATGGATGAGTCTCCCTCTAGAGCTAGTCATTGTGGCTTAAGTCAGCAAGGGGGTTGCTCACTTAAGGCCTGAGCCAGCACCCATGGAAGTCAATGCGAATCTTGACTTCAATGGGTACCTGACTGGGACCTTGTTACCACATGGCTGGACTAGGGTAGTTGGGGCACTGGTGAGTAGATTCAGATCATACCGCGTTGGATTTTCAAGGACCCGAATGGAGTTAGATGCCTAAATCCCATTGAAATTCAAGGTGATTTAGGCACCTAACTCTTCTAGGGTTCTTTGCCAATCCCACCCTTTGAGAGCGACAGGCTCTATGAGCCCTTCACTGCTGCACAGATTGGCTGACTTCATCACAACCTTTTTCAATGGATTGGCCTGGGTAACTCTTGTTAGCTTTTCTTTTCAACACCACCATAAACACATGCAATTCCTCACCTTACAAAAATAAAAATACTGTGCCACATTCATACTGTGCTATTCAATTCCTACACCCAAGTGAAATCATTAATTCCCAGATATTCTTACTATAGTCCCAACCATAATCACCCAGTATGTGCAAAAATTAACTCCTAGAGAGAAGGACCTACTTCTGATCTCCTCGGTGTTCTTGAAAGTGAGCAAACGTGGCCAATGGCTTCCTGTGGCGTGGAGACAATGCTTTGGACTGCTTGGCACACAACTCTTCTAGCTTTTCCATGAGCCTACTTTGGGATCTAGCAACCAAGGCCTCTATGGATGAACAGAGATGACAGAGAACTATTTACTACAGTCTTGCTGTTGTAAGAGCCTCCAACTTCCCCTTTTGTGCCTTATCACTTTCTCTACAAAGTGTCATGGACACAGGAGTGGTAAGGAGTTTATTGCTAGTTAGCTGCAGTCAAAATCTGGTTTCTCTTCAAAACCAGGCCAATAGTTTAATTTTTAAATAAACTTAAAAGAAACCTATGTGTAAGGTTCTAATGGTCTAACCTTCCTTTGCTCCTGACTGCCATCACTTGGCTTGTGCCACTGCATTCCCTAGAAGCTGGCCTCTGGAGTACTGATACAGCATGGCAGGACAGATAAATAGGGCCAGATTCAGCAGGGAATACAAAAGAACATAAACCAGTGTAATTTACACATTCTTCTGCCTCCTTGTCAAGCCACTTACACTGACCTACAGTCCCTTAGGTCAGTGTAAAGAAATGTAACTTACACCCATTTACACTTCCGCTTGGAATTTGGGCTATGGCATCCAGTAGGAAAGGCAGGATGGACTGTTACAGTATTAACTGAAGAAGACTTAGGGAGGTAAACAGCAGGGAGACAGAACAGGGAGAAGGTAAAAATGGGGAGAGGAGAACTGATGGTATTTACCTGACTCCCTGAAAATATTCCCTGTAAGGAATAACATACTCACAGTCAGGGATCCACCCTGCTTGTTTCAGAGAGGGGAGAACAGAAACATAACATGCCATTCTTCAAATACATAAAAGATTTTACACAAAAAGCTACATTAAAAAAACACCACAGTTGCAAAGTCAAGCACTCAAACATTGAAAAATTCCAACATTATGACTGACTATGCAATTTTAATTCAGCTGCATTGTGCATATGCATTATGAGACAGCCTTTAGTGACAAGAAAAGGAGTACTTGTGGCACCTTAGAGACTAACCAATTTATTTGAGCATGAGCTTTCGTGAGCTACAGCTCACTTCATCTGATGAAGTGAGCTGTAGCTCACGAAAGCTCATGCTCAAATAAATTGGTTAGTCTCTAAGGTGCCACAAGTACTCCTTTTCTTTTTGCGAATACAGACTAACACGGCTGTTCCTCTGAAACCTTTAGTGACATGATCACATACTACTTTTTTCACAGGACCGCTGCCTCATTCAGCAATTGCAGGGAAAGTTCTATTAAGCACATGAAATCAGGGGTTACGGCATACTCAGTCACACCGCGGGGATGGTGCATGCACAGTACGCAGGAGCGATGAGGAAATGGAGCATACCTAGCAAAGGTGGAATCTTCAGAGAATTTAGCTGCCAAACTCTAACAAGTCTCTACTGAGCAAATTGAAATTTTTCAAAGGCTTAGTCAAATTTAGCTAATGTTTTCTGGGACAGCAAAAGACATCCCTAACACCAGAGCGACACTCCCTCCAAATTTCAAGTCCTTGCTCCAAAGCATGGAAGTTCTAGTGCTTCTCAACAAAACAGCTATAAGAATTTTTTTTTAAACACAAGCAAAACATATTTTCCCTAATCTCGTTCTTGGCAGCAGCTTAACCTTTTTTTGATAAAACTTGAAAGAAAGAAAGAAAGAAAGAAAGAAAGAAAGAAAGAAAGAAAGAAAGAAAGAAAGAAAGAAAGAAAGAAATTCAGCCTGAGGCAAACACCCAGCATGGGAAATTTCAGCCCAAATGCTTAAAGTCTGACAAAGTTATAAATGAAAACAAGGTCTTTTAATAGCAAACATCAGCCAACATTAACTACAGTGGCACTACCAGCTCAGTCTGTATTAGTAAATTGCAATAATCAAACCTGGATGTCACAAATCCATAGATCACCAAGGATGGGTCTGAGTCTGACAGTACATGGAACAATCTTCTGGCCCAGTGGCACATGGAACTGTGCTGTTTTTTGTTGCCATGATTATTTTAGTTGGGTACTAACGTAACCTAACACTTAGGGTATATCTACACTACAGACTAAGTCTGAGACCCGGGTCCAGCAATTGTAAACCCAGCTTTACGATGCAGTGTGGACGCTCAAGTGTGGACTTGGAAACACCTAGTCCCACAAATCTGGGTTTACAATGCAGTGTAGACATACTCTGTGATGCTGCATTAGCAACCCAAGAAGGGCACCTCCACAGCTATTTCCAAGTGATGTAAATAACAACTTCACCGCAGAGACTTCAAACAGAGATTTCAGCCCTGGGTTTCAAAGTGCGGTGACCTAGCACTGCGACTCCCCTCTTTGGATTTAAGATTAAAGATGAAGAACAGAAAGGGAATGATCCTGAGATGCAAGTGGAACTGCAATGGAAGAAACTGCATTAGTCTGAACTGCTCTCTTCATCTGTGAAGGGCAATGACACAATGAAAACTACAACTCAAAGTCTAATCAATGTACAAACCATTAGGTTGAGAGGTCTGGAGAGGGTAGAAACATATGAGTGGGTGGGTCCCCCAAATGCTTAACCCTGAGATTTCTATTGATTCTATTTACATCAAGAGAGCACTGTATGTATCTATAAGAACTCTTAAAGCAGATGGATGCTAGCACTTACAGAACCATCATGTCTGAGGTCATGGACAATGCAGATAAGGGTCACATCTTAAACTATAGACCTATACAGTCATCCTCTTCCCAGATTTTTAGTTCAGTTATTCAGGCAAAATGCTTTTTCCTCCTCCTCACCCTGAGGATTTCAATTTAAAGTAACCAGAGCCTCCATTTTCTTTCCTACTTAGCTTTAGCTTTGCAATGGCATAAGAGGTACCTTTTCTAGGGAGCACTTGTTATAAACCTTTTGGAGGAAAAATAATTGATGGTTCATTTGCAGACCTTGGGCCAGATCTACAAAGGTACTTAGGTATATAAAGAAGCAGATAGGTGCTAAGCACCTCCGTGAGACAGATGCCTAATTCTTATTTGCTTTCAACATAAATTAGGTGCCTAACTCACTTAGGCACTTGTTAGACACCTAGGGAGATTACCTGCATCTTTAAACACCTAAATACCTTTGCAAATCTGGCCCTTGCAAATGGTGCTGGATGGCACAGAAACTTAAGGGCCCACAAGAATGATTCAATCAATCTTTCCAAACTTTAAGGTGTCTGATTTTTTATTTTTATATTTTGAAATGGGGAGGATTTTGTTTTTTAATTGTTTCTGACACTTTTTAAAAATTTGTTCTTTCAAGTTCAGTTCAATCCTAAACAGTGACTCTGTACAGATGACAGCGTGGGGCTCCATTTTCATTGCGCATCATTGAGTTCCAGATCAAATCTGATAAGCTTGCAAGTAATAAGCTTGTTCTCCTGCCTGCTACTCCTGCAAACTCAGCCTGGGGTCTCAGAGTCAGGCATTCCTTCTCTCACATGGTCATCTGTAACAAAGTTTCTACAAGCCAAAGTGGGCCCCCAGTGACATCTGTGCAACCCCATTAGCCCTCAGTGGGTTTCCATGGGCATAACTGAGGGTCTAATCTAGAGACACTGGGGTTGCAGAGTTGTGTATGTTGAGGGAAAAATGGAAAGAATGAAACAGTATGAACATGTCTCCAGCTCTGCGGAGAAGATGGAGCCCAGTCTTCAAGGACTCTCAGAGCAAGAAGTCCTCAGCTGACAGGCGCACACTTAAGACATGTCTACCCTACATCTGGCAGCAAACCCCCCAGCCAAGGGCAACAGATTTGTGCTAGCAAGACTCGTGCTAGCATGCTAAACAAAGCTGTGTAAACATTACTTTGACATTGCAGTTCATGCTAGAGTTCAGGGTTCTTAAGCCTAAGGTGGGGGATGAGGAATTTGGCACGCAGTCTAGCAATGGCAACGCCATTCACTGAAATTTGGCTTGGCCACCCCTCTATTAGGATGGGGTAGTGGCCAAACATGAATGAGTAGCACTGAAACCCGGTGCACCAGGTCACATCTCTGCTTGCTAAAATTTGGCCCAGCTGCCCCCAAGCAGCACTGTGTGCCAGGTCACAACACCCAGAGCAGGGAACCATGCCCAGCCCTGCAGGACAGGAGCCGCAGCTAAGCAGGGAGTGTGGGGTGGGCTTGTTTTCCAATCCCTGCCTCCCCCCACCCATAGGCCTGCAACCCACCATTTGGGAAACACTGCTAACAAAATATTCCAGTTAAAATTTCCAACTAAATGGAAAAACCTCAGGTAACAGAAATATTATCAGCAGGAGTGACACCTACCATCTGCTAGTTAGTGTGGAGGGGGTATATTCTCCCTAGACTCTATAGTAATCTGACAATTACGTGCTGTTATAATAATAGGTGCCTTTAGAGAAAGTGGGTCAGAGCAAATGGTGGTATGAATTGTCATAGCTCCATGGAAGTTGATGGAGCTATGTTGATTTACATCAGTTAAGGACTAACTGGGCCAATATGTTTCTCTTTTAAGATAATTAACAGGCTAGTTCTAGGCTGGCATCAAGAAAAATAACCTTTCACCTGCTACTATTTTTCCATGTAGCTTCAAAAGGCCATAGCTGTTAGGAGTGAGTATAAATGAGCATACAGAGTAGGGGACATATTTTAATAAACAAAGGGCTAGTGATCACTTAAAACTTGCAAGCAAAACCTTTTCTCTGGATGTTTTGAAAACCTGTTCTCTACAATAGGACATGCAAAATGAGAAAGTTACTCACCTTGTGCAGTAACATAGGTTCTTCAAGATGTGTGTCCCTGGGGGTGCTCCACTTTTATGAGTGCAGTGGCACACAAACACCTAAAGTAGAGCACCCACAGGGGTACACATCTTGAAGAGCCTACCTTACTGCACAAAGGTGAGTAACTTTCTCTTCATCAACCGATGTCCCACTGTGTGCTCCACATTAGATGACTTCAAAGCAGTGCCCTCTAGTGGAAGGAGGGGGCTTTGGAGTTGGAGTCGTAGCAGATGAAAGTACAGTGTGATCGAACAGGGTATTGGAAGATGCATGTTGCTGTAGTAAAGCGTAATGCTGGGTAAACGTATGGGGTGAGGGCCAGGTTGCAGCCCTACAGCTTTCCATGATGGGAACATTGTTAAGAAATGCTATGGAGGCTGATAAGGCTCTTCTAGAATGCGTGTGGATCCCCGTATGAGGTTGTCAGTCATGCTGGAGGTAAAGTTTTATGCAATGTTATCCATTTGGATAGCAGTTGTTCAGATATGGCATTGCCTTTTAATCGGTCAGCAACTGAAATGAACAGTTTTGGGGACTTGCAAAAATATTTTGTTCTATCAGTGTAGAAGGCTATAGCTCTGCGGACATCCAAGGAGTGTAGTCTGGACTGTCGTCTATGCACATGTGGTTTGGGGAAAAATGTCAATAAGTGGATTGGTTGGTTGAGGTGAAAGGATGAGGCAACTTTAGGTAGAAACTTGGGGTGTGGCCTGCGGGATACTTTATGTTTGAAGAAGACTGTGTAAGGTGGGTCAGCCATGAGAGCTCCCTCCTAGTGGATGTAATAGCCACTAGGAATGCAACCTTCATGGAAAGATGTAGCAGGAAGCTTGTCGCCATGGGCTCAAATGGAGGGCTGCTGAGGGTGTGGAGGACTAAATTGAGGTCCCATGGTGGGTTAGGATTCCTAACTTCAGAGTAGGAATTGGAGAGGCCTTTAAAAAAGCGTTTAGTAAGTGGGTATGGAAAAGTAGAGAATCCATCTACTTTGTGATGGAATGCTGTGATTGCAGATAGATGTACTCATATCAAACTCACAGAAAGGCTCGTCTTTTTTAGTTCTAGCAAGTAGTCTAGTATGAGTGATAAGGGGACTGACAGAGGTGTGGCCTGTTTGTGTTGGCACCATGAGTCGAATTGCCTCCATTTATGCATGTATGTGAGTTTGGTAGTTGTCCTACGGCTGTTTAACAAAAAGTTTTATATGCCTCTGGAGCATGTCAGTTCAGATCCCGAGAGCCAGGCAATAACCATGCTTTGAGTTGGAGTCTTTGAGGATCCTGATGGATGACACAGTGTGCATCCTGCGATAGCAGCCGAGGTAGAAGTGGGAGCATGCATGGTGGACAGACCACCATGTGGAGAAGGTTTGCCGAGACCATGTGGGGGCTATTAGGATCACTCTGAATCTGTCCTGCCTGATCTTGTGAAGCATGCAGGCTAGGAGAGGGTGGGAGGGAAGGCGTATAGGAGGGGAGTGTTCCATTTGATGAGGAAGGCGTTGCCAAGAGAGCGTGGACCAAGTCCTGCCGTGGAGCAAAACTGGGGGCATTTGGTATTTTGTGTGGTTATGAAAAGATCTATTGTTAGAAACCCCCAAGTCTGAAAAATGTTTAGGAGCACAGCATGCGTATTCAGCTCCCACTCGTGACTTGATAGAAGTTCCTCCTCAGGGTATCCACTGTGATATTATGACAACCAGGAAGGTAAGAGGATGTAATCTGGACATTATGCTTGATGCACCATTGCCAGAGTCACATGGCTTCCACACAGAGGGAGTGTTATTGTGCTCCCCCTAGGAGGTAATGGACACCCTTGTCCTAGAAAAATTGCTACAGGGTCTCCCCGAGAATATCTGAGTCTGGGTCAGGCGACATCAGCCAAGTACAGTCGATGCAACGGTCAAGCTGACTGAGGAATACAGGGAGGCAGATGTCCCCCGAAAGGAGGGCCGACCCTATAAGGACATAGAGTAGGGGAAGAAACCGAGGGAACCCCTCCCCGGGAAAGGCCCAGAGAGGAAGAAGGAGGAACCCCGAGGAGCTCCCAGTAGAGCTGGCATGATTGTTTGCAGACAGTGCGGGCAGCCAGGACATAAAAAGGGAGACTGCCTTGATATGGAATGTTGGTAGGCTGTATTTTGTGTCTGGTCTAATGCTGGAGGGCAAGAAAGGGGTCAGAAGCTGTCCACCACCCCGGTGGATACTGCTTCAGCCTGCTCGCTTGTCCAGAGGGGGCTGATAAAACCACACTGGATAATTCCAGGTGCACAGATGGCCCTGGAGTGTACCCACGGGGACAGGAGATACTGCCTAGTGGCCCAGGTGCCCCTAGAAGTGCGGGGCAGCTTTAAATGGAAGTGGGTTGGGGTAGTAGAGAGGTTACCATACCCCATTGTGTTGGGTATGGACTGGGGCCCTCCCCCCAGAGGGAAAAGGAAAGGTTCCCAAAGAAGGGAGTTGAGATCCCTAGACAGACAAGCCCCAGTCAGGAAGAGGAGCAGGGTCCTTGCGGAAGCAAACACAGAAACTCTAGATAAGAAAGCCCAGATGGGTAGAAAGAGAGGGAGGAGTTGTGGGGGAATTGGCCAGCCGAAGCCCCTTAGTGGAAGAAAAGGGGCAACTGGAGCTCCCCACAATGCAGCTCCCAGAAGAGGAGACATGGACTCCACTTGGTGGCTTGGGAGAACCCAAGGCCCAGGGTGTCCTTGAGAAGGTCAGGATGGACCCCAGCCCCCTACTGGAAGAAAAGGAGATAAAGGTGAAAGGATGCCCACAAGGGTGCGATTGGTGTGAGGACCTGTGGGTGGCGGCAGAGCTACAGGGGCATCCACCCCCCACAGTGTACTTTCTGCAGGGGTAGGGGGAGGATGAAGGAACACCACGAAAAGGATGCCAGGGAATCACCCAGAAGAAGGGGAGACACTCCCCTGGCTGAATCCCACTGGTAGGGGGTGAAGAGGACGAGGAAGGATGAACCAGGCAAATCATTAAGTGGGGGGAGGTGTGTTCAGGGCGCTGGCTAAGAAACTTTGAGCCAGGCCTCTATCACACCAGCTTCAATCAAGAAAGGAGAATTGGAGCTGGCTGAGTAAGCCCAGGCCTGAGTGGCATATGGGGAACAGCTGCCAGCCATGTTAGCCAGGGGCTATAAAAGGCTGGCAGGAAAGAAGCCAGGGAGTTGGAGCTCGTCCCTGCTGGCTGCAGGAGTTAGCAGTCCCTGGGGCTGTGATACTGAAGTTGTTTGTAGCTAGAAAGTGACGGGAAAGTAAACTGAAATAAAGAGCACAGGTGATTGCACCAATGCAGAGGTCTCCCGCTGGTTTGTGGGAGCAGCAGGGGCAGTAGGTCTTCAACCGTCGACTGTACTGGTTTTGGGAATCCCAATCGATGAAGCCAGGAAGCCCTCCTCATAACCACCGTGGTCGCTATCGATCTTGCTGCTGAATCTGCAGAGTCAAGAGTGGCCTGTAATGCTGTTGTGGTTATGAGTTGACCTTCTGCAATAACTGGTTTGAACTGTTCCTTTGTCTCTTCTGGAATAAACTCAATAAATTCAGAGAAGTTTGCATAGTTATTGTGGCCATATTTTGCCACTAACGCTTCATAGTTAGCTATTCTCAAGTGTAAGGTCAAGAAAGAGTATGCTTTGCGGCCAAAGAGGTTGAGCCACGTACAGTCTTTGTCATAAGGGGTGTTTCTGGGGTATTGTTGTCTACCCCATTCATTGACTGTGTCAATCACTAATGAATTCGGCATTGGATGCAAAAGGAGAAATTCAGTTCCCTTTGCAGACACATAGTACTTTTTAAAATCAGACCTCTCACAGGTAAGTGGGATTGTTGCTGGGGTTTGCCACAGCAACTTTACAGGTTCCGTAATCACAACATTCATAGGAAGGGCGATTTTGAATGAGGTCTATGTGTGCACAATATCTACTAGTTTATGTAGACACTCCTGGACTTCTTTGAGAAAAATGTCCAGTGAGGTGGCAACTCTGATAGAGGTCTTGGAATTGTTTGAAGTCATTACCTGTGTTGGGAGGCGGGGGCATAATAGCGTCATCAGGTGAAGATGAAGAGATATGGACTTCAGGTGGGCTGTCCTGGTCAGAGAGTTCTTCCTCCTCTTCATCCCCCTGTTCTGAAGTTTCAGGTGGTCCCTGTGCTGCTGATAAGGGTGATTGCTGTGTGCTAGCTCTGGGAAGGATGGCAGATCTATGTTGTGATGGTGGATATGCTGTCCATTGGCTCCAAAATAGCCACTGGGGTGGGAAAGGCACAGGTGGCATCCAGGGATGTCCATACCAGGGTTGGTTCTGAAGGTCCACCAGGCAGGTCTTATATGGAGGGGCAGGCGTGATGGGAGCAGCACAGGGGAGGAATGTTGTGGAGAGTGCATGACATCATCTTCTCCATCTTCATCCTTGCTTGAGAATTGTGGAGTGGAAAGAGATGGAGAGCTGGGTTGAGTAGGTACTGCGAGGACAGAGGTACCTAGGTATTGAGGAAACAGTGAGGAAACCAAAAATTTTTGGTGCATGAATTGCTGCAAAGTGGATGCCATCGGTACCAAATGCCAGTCAGTGCCGATGTGTGACTGGAGTGCAGGATGTGTGCACTTGGCGGTGCCGTCAGCTGTGGGGGTGCCGAGTGTTTAGTCATCTCTGGCAGTACTGCAGCCTGGGGTTTCATTTACCCCTTAGTGCCTGTGTCCGAGCACAGCCGTTTGGTGACTTTCGTTTTCTTGGTGTGGAGGGTCCCATTGTTTGGAATGGCTGATGCAGTAGGTCCTGAGAGTGTTTTCCTGCTAGAGGAGCGCCTTTTCTTGACCAACTCCAGAGTCAGGGACATGGTAACCCATTTTTTTGCCGCCTTCTTGGCGGGTTGATTAGAAGCCTGGGCCATGGAAGAAGGGCCCATGTCAGAGGCTGTAGTCTGCGATCTCTGGCTAGGAGGGGTGCATACCTCAGGCTCAGAC